AGGCAGGAAAACAAGGTCCTGATCATGATTTAATTGTGAAATAATTTTTCCCCCAAATAATGTGGAATTACTCCTGACACCAAGGAAATGCAGTTGAAGAAGAGGTAGATGGTCAAGTGGGTTATCAAATACAGAATATAAAAGTTAAATAGCATATGAGCAGAAATGTTCATTACATTTGGCAAAACTTCACTTTCATACTTTCTGGAAAGTGGTGGGTCAAAAAGTAAATGAGGAACAGACTTCTTGGCAAGATATAGTAGCAAGTTCATATTTAATACACTGACTCTATTTTAAACAAAGATCAAAGGTAGAATTTTTTAGGCAGAAAAGATAAATGACATAGACAAAATAAATGACAAAATATTTAAATAAAATTCAGGAGAATGGGTATATTGGACTCTTAACCCTAGAAATAGCCAGTAGCAGCAGATGAATTTGACTCCTACAGAGTCAAGGGACTAAAAAATGCTCAAACCAAGATGGAAGAAGGCATTGACTCATTGTTCAAGCCAGTTGCTATGGAAGATGATAGGTCTCCCACTACCTCAGCAGCTATTATGTATAGTAGCTGCCCTCTTCCTATCATGCCTTGCCTCCTCCCCTGTGTGATGTCATGCCAAGATGGTTGCTCCCACCAAAGAATAAAGCCTTCTTCCCAGCATGCCCCTGTTCCCGCCTACAAAGTAACCTAACACTCGCTCACCTCCTACCACCTAGTGACATCACCGGCTCCTCCATTCCCTAGTCACTGCCTCACTCAACCCCACCTCAGCCCCTACAAACCCCACCCCAGTCTCTATAAAAGACTCTCCCTGCCCCAGCCACAATGCTTTTGTCTCTCCTTTGTTCAGAGACATCCCTGGCAGATCTATTCCCCTAATAAAGGCTTGTTGTGGCCTGGTCTGGTCTTGGTTTTCGGCCCTTCTACCTGACAGAAGAGTTTTCCCACACGTGAAAGAAAGCCAGAAAAATCCTATCTATCTGCCTTCTGGGATGACAGTTGAATAGAAACTCGGGGTTTAGTGAAGGAGGAAGACCAAGACATAGCCTCACAAATGGGAATCAATAGATGGTGTTCTGGGGCTGGGGATTTAGCTCAGTGGTTCCGCTGCCGCCTGGCTCGAAAGCGCAAGGACCCAAGTGCAAGGACCCAAGTTCAATCCCCAATACCAAAAAAAAAAAAACCCCCCAAAACAAAACAAAAACCAATAGATGGTGTTCTGTAACTAACTCAGTGTTAGTATTATAGATAGGTAAGTTAATTAGATACCTAGTAGGTAGTTACACAGGGCTGGCCCACAGGGAGCTAACATAGAGGACAATCCAATCACATTCATTGAAAGCCAGCATTGTAAAAGGAGAGAAAACTACCGCACCCACATAGTATGAATAGCAGTGACTGATTTTCTAAATAGGTATCAATCACCTGGGTGGGGGACCAAGATCTTCCACCAAAGATCCCTGACCCACACCTTGCCACCAAATATCCTTACTCATTCCTTGTGTGCTTGCTACATGACTTATTTCCCCATTGGATCCTCATTTAAGAGACTATACTTAATCTTAATCTTTTTGGTTGTTCATAGTTTTGTCCACCTTGTGATTTCTCCTTGGATCAGTATTACCTAAGCAACTGTACTTGCAATCTTACTAGTTGACTATAATTTTGTCCCACCTGGAACCCGCCTCACCTCATGTCTTCATCCCATAAAACACCTTTGAGAAGTTAGGTGAGTAGGCAACCCACTTTCTGGTCCCCCTTCTGTCCCTGTTAAACAGAAGCTACTTTTCTCTCAATAAATTTTTCTACTCTTAACTCCTGTTCCTAGAATTCATTCTTCGATTTTAGAGAACACCAACTCGAGTTTCAGATATCTCATAGGTTTGGGAATTACATCTATTCCCCCTACAAAATTAGCATGTAGTATGACAATAGGACAGTAGATCCTCTCATCATTATAAAAACTCTTTTTTTTTTGGTACTGGAGATCAAACTCCAGGCCTTGCACTTGTGAGGCAGGCGGCACCACTGAGATAAATCCTCAGCCCTTTATTTGTATTTTTAATAAAAGCTCTTTTAGAACTAGGGTAGGGGTGTAAGAAGAAGTATAATGGAGGCACCCGAAAAATCACTGAGGAGTAGAGAACAGTGAGCACAGGGGTGGAGAAAAAAGTGAACCAAAGACCTTTTATTAAGAAATGAAATTTGAGGGCTGAGGATTTAGCTCAGTGGTTCTGCTGCCTGCCTTGCAAGCTCAAGGACCCGAGTTTGATCCACAGTAAAAAAAGAACTGAAATTTGAAAACATATAAAGAAATCTGATACTAAGAAAGATAGGCAACAATAAAATCAACAAAAAAATGAAGGAATAACAGAATTTTAAAAGAGCAAGAAATATCAGAAATTGTTATCAGAAATTGATAACAGAAATTTTAAAACATGCATAAAAATAATTTAGATACATTATCTATAAATCAAGGCTATAAATGTTACAAGGGACAGAGATAATATTGAAAGGCAGCTGAGAAATCTACTGAGAATACTTAAAACTGGGGTAAAAGATGTTAAAAACATAGAACGGTTAAGATGCATGAGAGAATGAGACAAATATGTATCCAATAGGTGTTTTGTAGGAGTTAATGGAGGAAACGATAAAATATTATTTGAAGAGATTTTTCCAGAACTGAGGATATGAGTCCTTAGACATTGGGCAAGATAAATATGACTAAATATGCATATGACCATGAAAATTCAGAATAATAAGGATAAAGGGAAAAATCTTACATGAGGGCCAAAAAGACATTACAAGTGAATTATAATTAGACTGCTGATGTCTCAGCATCAAAAAAAGGTCAAAAGAAGTGCAGATAGGGTAGAAATAACTGTTACCCCATAGCTTTAGCTATTCATAATAAAATACCCTGGAATTGCAAGGATTGTACAATATTGGAAAGTCATTGTAATTTATTATATCAATAGAATAAAAGATAAATCTTATGACTTTCCAACTGATGTCCAGCACCCCTATTTATAGGGGGAAACCCCTGTTAAGGAGTTTTAGTAAACTAGGAATAAAAGGAATTTCCTAGGAAGGCAAAATGGCACACTGCTATATTTCCAGCTACTCAGGAGGCTGAGGCTGAGGTCAGGTACGTGAGTTCAAGGCCTGTCTGAGCATCATAGTAAGATGCTATCCAAAAACAAAACAGTAATTTCCTTAAATTGGTGACTATAATGTAACAAACACCTAGCACAAATATTATAGTTACCAAAGAAATTGAAATACACTCCTTTTAATATCTTGGGGAAGACAAGGATGCCTATTATCACCGAATATTTAATACAGCACTAAAGGTTCAGATCAATGCCAACAGAAGAAAACTAAAGAAGCAGAAAGGGAGTGAGAGGTGAGGAAGGAGAGGGGAGCGTGGAGAGGGAGAAAATTTTCTCATTTATTATGTATCTTTTTTATATATATATTGGTACCAGGGATTGAACTCAGGACCTTGTGGTTGTGAGGCAGGCAGCAGAACCACTGAACTAAATCCTCGGCCCAAATTTTTCATTTATAATAGCATCAAAAGGAATAAAGTAAGCAAACTAGTTAGGAAAAAACTTAGTGAAGCAAAAGATTTGTACTTTGAAAACTATAAAACACTGCTGAAATTAAAAAGACATAAGTAAATGGAAAGACACCTATGTTCACAGATTAAAAGACAATACTGTTAAGTGTAAGGTCCCAAGTTTGATCCCCAGTACCAAGAAAAAAAATATTATATATATGTTAAGTTGCATTCCTAGCCATAGTGATCTACTGATGCAATGCAACTTCTATCAAAATTTCAATGATTTTTTTGCAGAAATTTGAAAAATTCTAAAATTCATTTGGAATCTCAAGGGACCCCAAAGAGCTAAAACAATATTGAAAAAGAACAAAGATTGAAGATAGATTTTTGTGATTTCAAAACTTAAAACTACAGTAATCAAAATATATTGGCATAAATACAGACATGCAGTTTAATGGAATGGACTAGCAACCACAGAAATAACTCTTAGCATATACAAACAAATGATTTCCAACAAGGTACCAAGACCATTCATTGGGGGGAAACAATCTTTTCAACAAATAATGTTGGTGAAACTGGATATTCATATGCAAAAGAAAGAAACTGGACCCTTATCTTATACCATAAAGAAAAATTAATTCCCAAAGGACTAAAGACCTACTCATAAGAGCTTAAACTATAAACTTCTTAGAAGAGACTATAGGGAGAAAATTTCACCTCATGGGATTTGGCAATGCTTTTATAGATGCAACTCAGAAGACACAAGACAACAAAAGTAAAGAATAGGTAAATTTGACTTCATTAAAATTAAGAACTTTTGGGCTGGGGATTTAGCTCAGTGGTTCTGCTGCCTGCCTTGCAAGCGCAAGGACTTGAGTTTGATCCTCAGTACCAAAAAAAAAAAAAGATAAAATTAAGAACTTTTGTGAATCAGTGGGTAGTATGTAGAGAGTAAAATGACAATCTGTAGAATGGGAGAAAATATTTGCAAATCATATATCTGATTAGGGATTAATATTCAAAATATGTAAAGATATATTAAGACTTCCCACAATTCAACAACAAATAACCCAATTCACAAATGGGCAAAGGACTTGAATAAATATTTCTCCAAAGAAGTTATACAAATAGCTAATAAACACATGAAAAGATGTTCAAGATCACTCAGTAGTCATTAGAAAAATGCAAATAGAAACTTCACACTTAAGATGACTGTTATAGGCCAAAAGCAAAACCAAAAACAGAAAATAATAAATGTTGGTGAAGTTGTAGAGAAATTGGAGCTGGTGGGAATATAAAATGGGATACAAGCTATGGAAAAATTTGGTGTTTCTACAGTTAAAAATAGAATTGTTATATGGTCAAGCAATTTTACTTCGGAGTATATGCTTTAAAAAATTGAAAGCAAGGACTCAAACAGATACTTGTATGTAAATGTTCATAACAGTATTATTCACAAAAGCCAAAAGTTGAAAACCCAAGTGTGCATCATCAGATTGAAGAATTTTAAGCATACACTGTATATGCGATGCAATACTATTGTCTAAAAAAAATGGATACATATGTGTATTCTTGCAATATGAATAATAGCTTTATAGGTATACATGAAGTTTATATGTTATGTATCTCATTTTATTCCTACATATCCAGAACACTTTGAAATTAAATACATAGTAACATAAAATTTAGCATTTCAACTATTTTACATGTTTGATTTAGTGACACTAACTTTATTCACAACATTATGCAACTGTCACCAATATCCAGTTCCAGAACTAGTTCATCATCCCAAACTAAAATTCTGTACCTCTTAAACAATTACTCCTCATACCTTCTCCCAAGTACTGGGATTATAGGCATGCACCACCATGCCCAACTTCAGAGTAGTTATAGATTTGACAGAAATAGTTATTTTAAATACCTCTATAACAACTCTAATATTGAACTAAGAATAGATAGAATTAACTCAAATTTGGCATTTAAAATCCTGGTTAAAACAAAAAAGTTTTTTTTATGCCTCATGCATTATTTGTTCAGAAGGTGAAAGTGTGTTACAGAGAGCTAAATTTTTAGCTGTGCTTAGAATGTGCTGTCTTTTACATTCTACTCTGGAAAGTGAAGCTTCTTATCCTGGATCCTAAGATTGATCAGTACTAGCAGCCCATACACAGCCAAAGTGATGCCTAATTTGAGGCTTTGAATAGCTCTTCATATAAGTTGATTTTTCTGTGCATTTGTATCGAGGAGGATCCAGTTCAGGCTGATGTCCTGGAAACCAATGAGGCTCTCGCTTAAATCCTGAGGGAAGGAAAGACAAATGGAAACAATCAACAAGAAGAGTGTTAGTAACTGATTTTGCTCTTATTTGAGGGGACAGTGAGGCCCATCAAAATTGAGAAAAGAGAAAAACTGTTCATTTAATCACTTATTAATTTATTCAGTTTACTCACTTGTTGTGTTTGTTTTGGTACCAGGGATTGAACTCAGGATCTTGTGCTTGCAAGGCAGGCAGAGGCACCACTGAGCTAAATCCCCAGCCCCTGTTTGTTTATTTGTTTGAGATAGGGCCTTGCTGCATATTCCAGTGGCGAAGCCCGACCGACCTCCAATGCTGCTTGACAAAGTTCCAGCTGAGGGAAAAGGAAGGTGGAACACATCGTACCCTCATGTTTTATTTTTTCTTGCCCTAATGTTTACAATTGTTACTCTGGTCACAGGAATCATTGTGTTTGTGACTAACAACATATTCTCCATGAGGCAAATTGGCAATGTTGTATTGAAATCTGATCTGGCTCACAAGTCCCAAATTCCTGTTTCTCTCAGTTCTATTGCCATACCCACTTCTAAAGAAACCTCTCCTAAAACTCCCTCTGTTTTCCTGCTACTATAACTCTTTTTTTCTATTGATGACTTTCTTTTTACTAAAGGGGTCTTATAAAGAGATTGAAAGGACAGATTTTAGATGTAAGACACAGTGGGAAATGGGAAACAGAAAGAAAGTTAAGACAGATAAATACACTAAGGAGGCAAGTTACTCAGTTTTTCTCAAAGTACTGTAAACATCTCCTGCTCATGGACCATGAACGCAAATAACATTTAAGCAAGATGAATAGAGGTATAGAAAAAATAGAGAGCTAATAGCAAACTATATTAACCATTGTGCAGTTTCTCAAGGGCCAGCTGATGACCACAAGTTTGACATTTAATTAACTAAATCTTGCTTGTACTCCCGCTGATATAGAGATTTTGATTAAGTTACCTTCTGTTCTGCTTAGGTGTGGGTAAATAAGGGAACAATTGTAATTTTTAAAATGTATTCATGATGTTCAATGAAATGAATCAGCTTAGGAAAAATATACTTTGTTTAGCAAAAAATAACCTTTATTTTTATAGAAATTGCTAAGGCAACCTAAAATGTAAATATGTTCCGCTCAATGCCTCCTAGCCATTGCTCAAAGATACAAAAATAAATCAGACCCTGAGACTTCTCAGAGGGAACCTGCACATTGCTTGCGAAGGTTCTTTTCTCACTCGCCGGCCCGAGACCTCTCCCCTTCCTACCCTGCATCGACTGCAGCTGGTCTGCGGCAGGTGGTGCCCAACGCGGGGCAGGTAAGGGGGGTAATCAATTATAGTTCGGTCTTGGGCGGCCTTCACCCCATAGGGCACTGCAGGCCCCGCACTCAGAGAAAAAGAGTAGGTGTTAGAGAGGGGTGAATAGTTAGAACTTATAGAGAAGATAATGGGCCACAAGGGGTCTAAAGAAAGAGGACTCTTTGTTGATATTTTACAACACTGTTTGCAATCTCATAAGATCAAGGTTGCTACCAAAGATTTATCAGCCTTCCTGGACTTTATTCAGGAATGTTGTCCTTGGTTCCCAGATGCAGGAACTTTGGACGCGGATACTTGGGGACGTGTGGGAAAAGACATACAGAAATATTATACTGAATATGGGCCAGAAAAAACTCCTGTTAATGCCTTCTCTTATTGGTCTGTGATTAATCAGTCTATGGGCTCTTCTATGATTAATTCTTGTCCCTCAGATACTTTCCCTTCAGCACCCACAGAGGAAACTCCATTGTTAAAGACTAAAAAATCTCCTTCCATTTATGGTGTAATAGAAAATGAAAATGATTCAGATGAGCTTTTGTCTCCTTCTAAGGAGAAGGATTTAGAGGAACAAGCAGCTCGATATCACGATCCTGATTGGCCACCTTTGCAGCCCACAGCTTTGTGCAGCCCTAAAAAATCTAAAGGTAAGGCTCGCTGGCAACATTTTCCTCCACCACCAAATCAGGTCGGCTTTGCAGGAGCTGTTTGTGAAGCTGCTGCGGCAGGCGATGCCACTTTCTCCTGTTTTCCTGTCATCTTTGACGCAGACTGGGACTATGAGCCGGTATGGGAACCTTTACCTTTTAAACTGCTAAAAGAAACTAAAGCTGCTGTACATTCTTATGGAGCTTCTTCTCCCTATACTATGACTTTGCTAGAAACCTTAGGAGGGAACCTGCACATTGCTTGCGAAGGTTCTTTTCTCACTCGCCAGCCCGAGACCTCTCCCCTTCCTACCCTGCATCGACTGCAGCTGGTCTGCGGCATTCCAGGATGGCCTTAAACTCACTATGTAGCCCAGGATGACCTTGATGTTGCGGCAATCCTCTGGCCTCAGCCTCCAGAGTGCTGGGATTACAGGCATGTGTAGTCATGCCTGGATCATTCAGTTTACTTTTATTTGAGTTCCTTCAATCTGCCAAACAGTCAGTTAGATTCTGAGAATGTAGCAATTAAAAAGACTAGTCCACCTACTATGGGTTGAAAGTGGCATTTTGCTGTTGTAGCTTGTATCATATGTTGTTTCAAAGCAGTGTTGAAACTGGAAAGAAAAATCACCAGATTAAGAATCTAGAGTCTACATCTAATATCAGGAAATAAAAGACATACTACATGAAATTTAATGGGCTCTGTCATGTTTCAAATAGACTAGATGTCTGTATGTTGTTAGCCAGTATTCTACTTTCATATTTTTTGTATATTTGTTGGCTTAGGAGAGTTTTAAGGGCAAGACTCAGATTCATGACAAGTCCAGGTAGGCAAGGACCAAAGGAAAAGCTAGATCAAGTCAGAAGACATTATATCTTCCTGTAGATTAATAAATGAAGTCAAAACAGAAGCAAGAAAAAGAGTATTTACCTATCCTTTTGATACCTTACATTTAATATTCAATTTGATAATAAAGTGGGATAGATGGTCCAGTTGAAGAATGCTCCCCTCCCCTAATCACATTACTGAACAGAAGACTAAGAAGTTCCTAGATTCCTTCACTGGCATTTGTTCAAACAGGAGGAAACAAAAGAAGAAAAAATCAGACTACCTGTGAAGGCAGGGGTTTGGGCTGCACAATATTCCTTAGGTCATATCTTTCCTGGTTCCAGTTGCCCATTAGAGTTCGGTTACAATAGGAATTTTCATTAGTGGTACATCTCCATCCATACTGGAAAAACTTGGAGGCATCATTCCAATCTGTCCACACTTTACCATGGCCATCTGCATTAATGAGCCTTTCACGGTGTGGGTATGTGAGGAAATGGATAAGGTTCTGTTTTTGGAAAAAGACAGGAATAAAAAAGCTTATTGCACAAACCAAGAGCAGAAAAAGTTTCCCTTTCTACCCTCTGCTTTATATGGGAAGTATAACACGAGTACATTCTTACTTATGCTCTATGTTTTCCTCCAGATTTAACTTATGTGGTTTTGTTTCCTCCTTTCTAGGTCCACGGACCCACTGACCTATCCTTTCAACCAGTAGTAGAGGATGACTATATAAATGCCCTCCCTAACACTGAAAATACAGAAAAACCTTTAGTACCCTATATGGAGAACTAGCTAAATGTTTAATTAACTTTGAAGAGTAGGAGTTGAAGGACTAAGGGTATTATTACAAACAAAGAGAATAAGAAGAGTTGAACAAGTAGATAATACTATAAATGATCAATAAGTGATAATTTCCTTCCTTGCAGTCCCAGCTCAAATAATACCTTCCCTGGTTTACCTCTCTCTTTCATCTTGTGCAGAACTTTATCTCCTCATTTCACCATATTTATATCTTTCTACTGTACATTAGAGTGCATCATGTGTCATATCTCTTCTACTGAACTGTTATGTTCCTTGAAGACATGATCTGTGTTTTATTATTGCACTCTGCCTTCTGCCTGCCCTCCCAATCAATAGTGTTTTGCTTATACCAGATGATCAATATCAATTTCATTTTTTGGATAAGGAATCAAAAGTCCAAGTTTTTTGGGGGGGCTCCCCAAAATAAGTCTCATTTTCTGGCTTAGGAGCAAGGTGATACCTCCCGTGAAGAACAATAATTTGATGCTGAGTAGGCCGACTTGCCTGAAGAGTTCAGAAGAAATTGAAAGAAGTCCATATGTAGTTGTTCCATATTTATTGAAGAGGTCACCAAACATGGTCTTGCCAGATATCCAAGTAAAGAAAAGTATGTAGATCACTCAGGTCACCAGGGTCAAGTGGCCATGATCTGGGAACCAACCACCCACTTGCCTTTTCACAGGCAGAGGCAAAGCCAATAATATAGCACTAAAGGATGGCATCTCAGGTAACTGCCTCACACCATATGCCTTTGTGAAGACAGACGCATTCACTGATGTCACCAAAAAGCATGATGACTAGAGTAGCTGGTCCCACAAAGTTCAGTAGGCTTATTGTTCACACTGGAGACCTACATGATTCTGTCCTTAGGGTTGGAATGACAGAATCACCATCCATTCAACTGTCCAAGTTAGAAGCTTGAGGCTTATCTTTGACTCTGAATTCTCTTTCAGCTTTCATCCAATCACTTTAAGTCTTGATTTTTAAATACTACTCCCCATCTTAAATGCCAAGTTCCAAGTCAGATCACTGTCAATTTTTATTTGCATTATTGCAGTTACCTCCTATCTATTTTCCTTGTTACTAACCTTGTTCCTCTCTGATCCTTTCCCCATAGGAAAGCAGAATTTGAAAAAATTTATTTTTTGTTTTTTGGTACTGGGGATCGAACTTGGGATCTTGTGCTTGCGAGGCAGGCGACGGAACCACCGAGCTAAATTCCCGGTCCCCAAAAATTTAAGTCTTGCTGTGTCATCATATTTAAATTCAGTGGCTTTGTTTTCAGAATATGGTTAAGGCTGTAAAAATAGCTTACTATTTCCATATGACCTGGCCTGTACTTAACTCTCCATTGCCCAATCTCCTCCCAACTGTGATTCAACCAAATTCCACCACTCCATGTTTTTGTCTGGTACTGGGGATTAAACCCAGGACCTTTGCACATCACAAGTCATTTTTAACTTTTAATTTTGAGACAGGATCTTGTTAATTTGTCCAAGCTGGGTTTCAACTTGCAATCTTCCTTCCTCAACCTCCTAGAATGCTGGGATTACAGATTTGGACCACCATACCCAGAAACTACTCTGTTTTTTAAACATGCTTTTGGACACATTATTCTTTCTGCCTCTTCATTCCTTTTAAACCTGGTAAGGGATAGTTGCCCCCTTTCTCCATTAGCTTTCAACGCTACTTCACCTCAGGAAATCTTTACACTTTTCCCCAAACCCCGGTAATGTTCCCCTTCTATGTGCTTCGTTCGATAGCACCCTGTCTTACTCCACCTATAGTTATGTGTCCCACTATATCAGAGTTGCCTCTTCTGTGCATTCTCCACCAGACTGTAGACAGGTTATATCTTGCACATCCACATATCTAATTGGCCTCACAGTAGCATAGCAATAAGCATTCGATGATATTTCTCGAATGAGTAGAAGGTAGGAGATAGAAGCACCTGGAGAAATTCTGAGCAGCAGAGACACTCAGAGGCAGCCATTTCAGACTTGATCAGAGCAGTTTAAAAAATCCTCAGCATCAGGAACATGCCAGACACAATCCAATCTCTTTTTGCCTTCAGTTCTGCCCCGCTCCTTTAGCCCGGAGCTCGCCTCAGCCCCGCCTGCGCTGGCGACTGCTGCTTGTGACCTCATTCAGGTGTGACGATGTCGCTCAGAGCCGTCTTTGAACTACAAGGGAGTTTGATCTTTCCGGGGGCAGGAAGGTGAGAGGACACGGGCCCTGGGTATCTCGCTTTTGCACTCATGGTTATTGGGAATTGCTGCACAGGTTTGTCAATAAAATTCAGGGCACGCAACTTGTCATCAACCATCGACTGGTGAAGAGGAGGCGGGCAGACTTGACACGGAAGTGACGCCACAAACTAGCGCCAAGGAAAAGGTGAGTGTGGTGTCAGTGAAGGCCATGGCCCCTCGACGCCTCCTGTTGGTTGGGGAGGGGAATTTCTCCTTCGCTGCCGCTCTGAGAGAGACCATGGATCCGCGCTCTAGCCTAACCGCCACCTGCCTCCAACACCTAGCTGATTTAGCCCGGGATCCAGTGGCTTGGGAGAATCTGCAGCGCCTGCGCGAAAGAGGTAGAGGGATGGGCCCCTTTCGCGAGGCCCCGCCCAGCCTCCGGAGAGTCCAATAAGGAAGAGGTGGGGGGGGGGAGTATGACTCTTGGGGACTGCTCTGGATTATCCCTGGGATAGTCGCAGAAATCCTGCTGTACGGTTCAAACCGGGAGAGATTTTTGTTTCCAGATCTTGAGACAGCTTTCTAGCTGTGTGTCGCGCCTCTAAACTGTCTTTGGCAGGTACTGAGATACGTTTCGGTGTGGACTGCACCCAACTGGCAAATGCCTTTGAACCACACAACAGGAAATTTGATAGAATTTATTTTAATTTTCCTCACTGTGGACGCAAAGCTGGAGTAGCTAAGAACAGGGAACTGCTTGCCAAGTTTTTCCAGAGGTGAGGAAAAGAGAGCCCGACGTAAATTACTGTTACACGTTTGGAGGGAATACAAAGCCCCAAAGGAACCCACAATCTTGTTGGAAAGGTTGATTTATAACCATAAATACTAAATAAAATTGCAAAGTGTGCTCTTGAGAGTATAAAAGATGAATTATATATTTTTAATAATGCAGAATAATGACACCCAGTATAGTCGGATGGGTAAAAGCATAAATTTAGAGATCAAACTGCCTCGGTTCAAATCCTAGCCCATTATTTAATAAGAGTTTTAAGCAAGTTTACTTAATCCTTATGTATTTCTCTTTTCTTATATATAAACTGAGAATACAAAAAACAGTGCTTTACACTATACCAAAATCTGTGATACTTCTGGAAGTTTCCATTAGGTCATAGTTATAAAGCAATCTTTCAGAAAAACAGTGCTTTAAGCTATAAACTTTAGAGTTTTGATAGGCAGAAGGCAATGAAAAAACTCTAAATGGGAAGAAACATTCCCTATGATGAATGTGGATCATTATGTATATCAAAAGTGTACCAATAGGGCCCGGAATTTAGCTCAGTGGTTCCACCACCTGCCTTGCAAGCACAAGGATTTGAGTTCGATCTCCGGTACCAAAAAAAAAAAAAAAAAGTGTATCAGGTTTGTTTGGGTTTTTTGGTGCCAGGGATTGGTATCATGTCTTTCCCTTGCAAGGCAGGCGGTGGAACCACTGAGCTAAATCTCCAGCTAGTTTTTTTTTTTTTTTTTTCAAATGAGGAGGCCAGGTATTGTGGCACACGCCTGTAATACCATCACTCAGGAGGCTGAGGCAATAGGATTGCCATGAGTTCAAGGCCAGCATGGGCCACAGAGTGAGTTCAAGGTCCGCCTGAATTACAAAGCAAGACCCTGTCTCGAAAAAACTCCAATAAATAAATAAATAAATAAGTAAAAATGGGGAGAAACAGGCCAAGCAGGGAATTATGTGTAGGAAGTTTGCAGATTGACATTTCTATGACATATAGATGAACAACATTAAAGCATTAAAGGATTTGCATTAAAGCAGATGCCAAGTATTGTTATGGGGCACATGACTGTACTGTATTTTCTTTGCATATTTGAGGTTTAATGTTTGCAAGTATGATTGGATTTTAATTATTTCACAGCTAAACCACATGTAAATTGCTACCTTTGTTGGTAATTTTTACTTGTTTCTGATAAACCCTTGGTATTTTTTTTAAATTCCATTAGCTGTGCATATGTTCTTGCAGAGGAAGGAGAAGTTCATGTGGCATTGTGTAGAGGACAAGGTGGTACTCCTGCAGATAAACCCCAGAGAGAATGGCACAACAGTTGGCAAGTGGTTGCCATGGCAGCTCTGGGGGGTTTCATTTTAAGTGATGTGCTTCCCTTCAGCTGTGATGCTGTGCCAGGGTACAAGTGCACTGGATATAGGTAAGTAATAACATAGGCCTAAGCCTTCTCCTTTTTCATCTCTCTCACTAATGAGAAACATTATAGCAGGCAGACTTTTTTCTGCCGATTTCCTAATTAAATTTCTAGAAACACTTACTTTCTTTAGTAATGACAGACTGTATACTGTACTGTTGTCTTTTTTGTTAGAAGTCAAGATAAATCCTTTCATGTAGAAGGTGCTCTGAACCATATCTTTACCCAGAGCTTACCCTTTGAAGGTTCTCAACCCAGAATCTTCAGAATCAAGCTAGGAGACAAGTGGTTTTCCCTTCTAGAACCAGAAGCACTTGCAGGAAAGTTGAACAGGTAACCTCTTACTTTGCTGGAAATTACTTCCACCTCTAGTTGTATCCTGAATGTCTTGATGGGCACCTATATTTTGATGAGATGATACATAAATTGTTAATGATGTGAATACTTGTCAGTCCTGGTAAAGGGTGGTGGCTGCTACAATTCTGGAATACATGTACACTCTCCTGTGCTGGGGGTGTAGCTCATTAGTAGAGTGCTTGCCTAGCATGTTCAAGGTCCTGGATTTGATCCCCAGCACTGAAAAGAAAAGAAAAGAAAGAAAGAAAATGAAAATTAAAGTATCTAATACCTCTCCTATAGTAGATGATTTCTTTGTTTCCTATCATGATCAATTTAAAGATAATTCTTTTCTGGTTGGCCATTTATGTTTTATATGTTTTAATTTTTCCTATAATTAATTATTTTAAGTGAGAAAAATTAGTTTTTGTGTGTTTACACAGGGGTTTCCTGGAAGCATCTTCATGCCATCCTATCAAAACCATAAATGAGAAACTCATTGCTGAATTGGGCACAGCTTTCCCTCTGAAAATGCTGAAGTGTTCCTGGCCCCTGCTGCCACAGGAAAGCACCAGTGTTTTCCCTTCCTGGAACTGTGACATTCTGTCTGCCTTTTGGATTAGTCTCTGTGAAGATAACTTAAATTCCAAGTCTACGACTGATGAAATAACACAAGAAATTGAGGACTCTCTAGTATCATTTTCAGAACTTAGCCTTCCCAAGAGTCCTAGAGGAGATGGTAATGAAGAAGCTCCTGAAGGAATCCATGGACAAATCAAGGTCTGCCTTAGATTTTCTCTTCTAGTTCATGTTCAGGCTGTCATTCAAGCACCAGACTTCCTCCCAGGTTCTTTGCACATCCTCAGTGGACTTGTTTTTCGGAAGTGCCATATTTTGCCATTCACAATGCCAGCATTTCATGAGACTTTAATTATCCTTGGGGTTAATCAGAATCTGAAGCATGACTGTCTTTTATCATTGCTGGATCACCTAAAAGGCATTCTAGATAGCCTTTTGATCCAGACACCATTGGAGGATGCTAAGATGAGCAGTTCAGTAGAGTTTGTCCTTCATCCAAATGGAAAAGATTATATGATTCAGGTGAAGTCTCCTAATTTTGGCCCAGATTATGTCAAAGATCTTATTATTGGGGCTGTCATCACATCTGCTACAACCATTACACATAAGGATCAATGTTTTGTGATTGTATCTATAAACTTGGACTTATTAACTATGGTTGTTTGGGATATCTCTGACTGGAGAATGTTGTGGACCTTTGATAACCGTTTCCTGAAAAATTTTGTCCCTGAGAAAATAGTACCCTTTAAAAGCTATTCCCTGTATCCTCCATGCTATGTGCATGACATTAGTTTTTGGTTAGATGAGAAGAAAAGATTTGATGAACTAGAGTTTCACACTGTGGCCCGAGCAGTGTCCCAAGACACTATTACATCCATACAGTTACTTGGTCGTTTTCAGGATCCAAGGACTGGACAGATCAGCCTATGCTATAGACTGACCTACCAGACATGTGATAAGGCCCTTACACAGCAACAGGTAGCATTAATGCAGTGCCAGTTTAGAAAAGAGATTCAACAACAGCTACGTGTTACACCACGATAGTTTAGTAAATTCATTTCCACAGTATGATCCTTCATTGTATTCAGATGAAAAAGAGTAACTTGCAATTGGTTGGGTGTCCTCTCTGGACTATGTTTTGTTTTTAAATCTTTTTCTCTGTGTGTATTAGCACTGTTGGTTGATAAAAGATAACTGTAACTGTATCACTCAGATTTACAGACTGTAATATGATTGGGGATATTTGTGGAGTTGTACAGTATTTTGATCTTGAATAATAGACAATCCCCACCCCCAAACAAAACAAAACAACAGTTTCCTGTACTTTAGTGCTCTGTTGCTGAAGAGGCAATAGAACTTAGATGTCTAATCAGATATATTTATAAATATATTTTCTACATTGTCAGTTCTGGTTCCCTTAACTGTATTATCACACTAAACTTATAAGGTTGGTTTTTGGGATAAGGCCAACATTTATGAGCTTTGCAGGTGTTTTATAATTTATGTTATTATTATCATGATGTCACCATGCCTTTTCTGTAGTTGACTTATTAAAGTCATGGAACCAATAAGTGTCAAATTTAGGATTAATATTTGGGTTGGACCCTCAAACGGTGGTGAACTTATGGCATGTATTTCGCAGTGAGCTATTTGTATCACTGAACGCTCTGAAAGGTTTGCTATCGCTGCTCTAAAGCCATGTTCTTCCTGCTACTTTCTGTTACTTTTCCTTCCTTATTCTTGGTCAGCAGGAAAAGGATATATATGATATATCCAAACTGCATGTTTAACCTGATAAGTAGTGACTGCATATGGGAATTGAGTAATAGGATCAATCTCTTTCAATACTTGGGAAATTATATTTAGTGTGAAATCATACTCTTCTGGGACTGTTGATTTCAGCACTTCACTTATAAACTTGTTTGTGGCACAGAGCTTGTGATTGGGGGAGTGGACAGAATATCAGGATTAAATGAATGATTATCAAGATCAGTTATGTTATGAGCCAAGGATATAGCTCAGTGGCACCGTGCCTGCCCTCCCAAGGTCCTGAGTTCGATCCCTGGTACTCCCACCCCCCCAAAAAAAGATCAGTTATGTTATCAGCAATGTGCCTTTGTAAAACTGCCTGTATGAAGTTAAGGGTTTTCTCTTGATTTGGTGGGAAGAAAATGGGTTTGTAAGTCAGTCTTCAGTTGGAATATGGCACCACCATTTACTAACTATGCTATTTTGGGCCTTATCAAGACTACTTTTTTGGGGGGGGTACCGGGATCGAACTCAGGTCCTTGTGAGGCAGGTGTCGGAACCACTGAGCTAAATCCTTGGCCCAAACATCAAAGTTCACGTTTGTTTGTTTTTGGTATCAGGGATCGAACTCGGGTCCTTGCGCTTGTGCAGCAGGCAGTGAAACCACTGAGCCAAATCCCCGGACCTTTTGGGCCTTATCAATATAAGGCCCTTATCAATAAAACAAGGTGGTTGTGAGAATTAAATTTTTTTTGGGGGGGGGACCAGGGATCAAACTTGGGAACTTGAGCTTGTGAGGCAGGCAGCAGAAACACTGAGCTAGATCCCTGGCCCCTAGGCTTGTACTTTTGATCCTCTTGCCTCAGCCTTTCAGAATGCTGGATTGCATACATGTGTGCACTACAATGCCTGGGTAAGAATTAAAATTTTAAAAAGGAATAAAATGTAAAATTGCTTACCACAGTGCTGTAGAAGCAACAACAGTCACGATGTATGGTTGAATTTGGTGCACAGAATTTCATCAGTGTTTCACTTCTTAGTCTACATTCTGGCATTACTGTTTTGTCTCTGAAGCACTATGAGCTACTGGCTGTCCTTGTCACTCAACGAAATACAGAGAGGGCAAGGTCTTAAAATGACCTTTTACAGACCTCTCCTTTAGTGGGCAGCTGTGCTAATTATCTTTAACTGAATACCTCGGAACACTTCACTTTTATAGAATTGTGTAACCACTTTTTATTTGTGCTTTCATTTAAAGTTTTTTTGTTTTTTTTTTTGGTACCGGGGATAGAACTCGGGTCCTTGCACTTGCGAGGCAGGCAGCGGAACCACTGAGCTAAATCCCTATTGAAGGCTAGTTTTTATAGGTGAGTGAAGAATGCTGAAAAGTGAAGAAAGAGGGAAAAATACCGAGAGTTCAAAGTAGGTGGATGAGGAACGCCAACTCTCAGGTTCCTTTAGTTTGCTACTCGGGAATTTGCCCTAATTGGCCCAACAATATTATAATTTAGTCTTTTCTGCGCATGTCAAAGTCTTTTGTCCCTAGGCGGACACCGTTTGACTGCTAAGATTTGTCTGAGCTCTCGCTGACTTCGTAGAGTGCGTAATTCTACCTTTTTTTCCGCGCTTGCCATGGTGAGCCGAGGGGCTCGGCAGCGACTGAAGGGCGGCGGCGGCAGTAGCAGCGGGGACACGGCCTCGGCCGCGGACAAGCTGCGGGAGCTGCTGGGCACCCGAGAGGCCGGCGGCGTGGAGCACCGACCCGAGTACGTGTGCCGGTGCGGCAGGGGGCGTGGCCGGGTCGGGGCTGCCCGCGAGGGTCTGGTCTGCCTGGAGTGTGGCTCCCATCTCTGGGCCCCGGCCCTTTGTTCGGCCGGGCCTTTCTGCTCTTCCGGGAGGACTGGCGTTGAGGTTCAGTCTTCACCCCGCGTTAGAGTCTCTTCTCTCGTTGAGAAACCCTCAAGCGCGGGTTTGTGATGCTTCTGGCCAGGCCCCGCTGGTTTCGTGGTATTTCTTGGCATGGGCAGAGCCTCTGTGGGAGATATTGGCCTTTTGCAGTTGTTTCTCACAGCTTTCATTTCCCTCCAGAAGATCCTCCTTTACTTTTATATGTGGGCCCCCAGCCTCTAGCACCTGACGGCAGTCACCTCTCCCCAAGTTGGGAGACTTCAGGCTAGGATTGCTTTAAGACTAGCTGTCGGGCCGGGCACTTAGCTCAGTGGTTCCACCGCGAGCCTCGCAAGCACAAGGTCATGAGTTCTATCCCCGGTATCCCTCGGTAGCCGTCAACACATGGAATCGGAGCAGGATATGCATTTTGTACCTATTAGGTCGCTGTTCACTTGAACATATGGGGAAATGAATAAAGCGATCGAAGGTAGCAACTCTGTTAAGAGAAGAAAGGAATATGAGAACACTGAGGCTTTCAAGTGAGTCATTCTTTAGGTGACCTGAAATAAACAGAGTATTGTAGATACGACAAGCTAAGAGGAAGAAATTAGTTCACACCTTAAAAGTGGTAGCAGTATTATTCATTTTACTTTACCTTATTCATTTTACTCAGAACAAACGGTTCACATTTTTTAGTGAATGAGTTAAGTACTGTATTTGTTTCTTGCTTTTCTTGTTCTTTCTGTCTAGTTTTACTCCTTCTGTTTAGAAGGTCCTTCCTGACACATGCTATTTTTTTTTTTACACGTGCTATTTTTGTTAATTTGATTTTTTCTTCTGAGCAGATTATCTGGAAACAAAGCAGGTCAAGTCTGGGCACCTGAAGGATCTACTGCTTTCAAGTGTTTGCTCTCAGCAAGGTTGTGTGCTGCTCTTCTGAGCAACATCTCTGACTGTGATGAAACGTTCAACTACTGGGAACCAGTAGGTGATTTTAGTTTTTGGGTTTTTGTTCTTGACTTTTGTCTCTTGGGATTTATTACCAGTCAAGATACAAGTAATATATAAGCGTGGCTACTAGTAAAATAACTTTTTGCTTTTAATTCCTAAAAGCTGTTTATTTACTTACTATTGAAGGTTGTAGGAAATTTTTCTAGTTTAGTCAAAGATGTGATTTGTAATTATCTTTTAAAACTATTTGGAGATAGTTTTAAAAGTTAATTACCATAGGGCTGGGGATTTAGCTCAGTGGTTCTGCAGCCTGCCTGGAAAGTGCACGGTCCCCAGTTTGATCCCTGGTACCAAAAGAAGGTAACTACCATAAAACCTAAAGGAATAACACCTCCTTATTCTACTTCTCATGTCTGAATTCTGCTTCCCAGAAGCAACCGCTTTCTTTCAGTGCTTTATTTATCCCAATGTTTATCAAAATAGTGCAACTAAGTATGCTTATAATGCTATTTTTTATTTAGAATTAGAATTTTGATTAGATTTAGAATTCAGAAGTTAAATTTTCATATAACATTTTTCATCAAAAAAATGTAGAAATGATGTTTAGTGTGGTTATATAAGATTTAGAGTTTAAATTTTGGGCAAAGACTCTTTAAAAGAGTAAGAGGGTAGGCCAGGGATTTAGCTCAGTTGTTCCACCGCCTGCCTTGTAAGTGCAAGGTCCCGAGTTCAATCCCCGGTACCAAAAAAAAAAGAAAAAAGAAACTGATCCACACTTTCGGGCCAGGGATTTAGCTCAGTGGTTCTGTCGCTTGCCTTGCAAGCACAAGGACCCGAGTTT